ATGAAATACATTAATACACAAAAAAAATTATATTTGAACACGTGAGTTTTGCTGAACGTAGGACAACAAAAGCAAGAAAAAAATAACAAAGAGCAAAAAAGTAGCTAAAATTATCAAAAAGAAGCTGAAAGTAGGTGAAACAAGTTAAAATTAACAGATGGGTAAATGAGTGAAAACATTCAAAAAACAAGAAAAGAAGTACAAAAATCTTGCCATTTGTTTTGAAATAACTACAAAAAAACTATCCAAAAATAGCTAAAGTTGTAGCTGAAGAAGATGAAATTATCACAAGGTGAATTTAGCAGAAAAAAGCGCAAATGAGCTAAAATTACATAAAAAGCGGTCGACATTAGCAGCTGAAAAAAGTTGAAATTAGCTTAAAAATCACAGCAAAGGACAGCTAAAAAAGTAAAAAATAAAAAAAGTTAAAGGCCCCGTCACACTATAATGTTTTAGACAACTTATGAAAAGTTAGTCCAACATTAAGATCTTTGAGCTGAAGATGGAATTAAAAAAATCTACTGGAGGCCTCTTTTGGACCCATCCATGCTGGAACTCACCTTGTCTCGCTCCTTCTCTCTCAGTTTGTCCATGGACCTCTTCAGCCCCTCCTCCAGCAGGTCCATCAGCCTCACCGTGTCTCCAGATCGAGTCTTAAACTTCTTCCTGAGCAGGAAAGACAAATACTCAAATTAATTTGTGGAAATGACAGCAGCATCGGAGGACGGCGGTTCTTGTTGTGGACTCACTTGTCCTCCCCCAGCACCACGCCGAAGCCTGCGTGCTCCACCCGGGTCACCCGGGGGTCGTACCAGCCGATCATCTGGGCCGCAGCAAACACCACCTGGAAGTGTGAGCCCTGAGGAAGGCAGGAACAAAGGAACGGGTCTGTTTATGCTAAAACAACCATGTAAACATGACAGGCTCCGCCCCCCACCTGCCCGCTGTCCGTCACGTAGATGATGATGTCCGCTTTCTCCTCGAAGAGCCGCTGACGCAGCGCCGCCAGGTCCGACGTGTCGTAGGTGTAGCCTCCATCAGACTTGACCACGGTGAGCGGGAGGGACTGACCCGTGGCGAAGACCAGCTTACGGCCCTCGTCCAGCTCCACCAGACCTGGAGACGGGAATAACAAAAATAAAACCATGATTTTATTAAAATAAACTGAGGAACAGGAACATTTATGAGACTTTGGCTCCTCCTGGTGGTGGGACCGTGGAACTGCAGGTTCATCTAAAAACGTTTATATTAGGAGGGAATAAAAAGATGTTTTCAGCAGGCTGACCTTTGTCCTCAAACTCCTTCACCACCCGAGTCATCAGGTCCTGGTAGTACGACTCTCCTCGCTCGATGATCTTGATGTCCAGGCAGTCGTAGACCTTCTGAAACTCTGAAAGTTAGAAAGAATAAAAGCTGTAAATAAAGACAAACGAGTCGAGTTCCTGACGTGTTTTCAGAACAAATCAACAGATCACAGAAAGCCTCACCTCTCCTGGAGACGTCACAGATCATGTTCCAGGCCTTGATGAAGTCTGGCTCTTTGCTCTGCAGCCTGACCACGCACTGATACGCCCGTTTTTTAAAGTCCTCATCTTCGTCGAAGCGTTTCTTCGACTCCTGGAGGACCAGAGACAAACACCGGTTCAGACAGAGAGAACAAGCCCTCCACCTTCTTCAGTTCCAGGGCGTCAGGACCGAGCCCACCTTGTAAAAAGCCTGCAGGTCGCTGATTGGAGGAGAGACGCTCAGGTAGTCTGGAAACTTGTCCTGCAGGTGAGCGATCAGCATCCCGAACTGGGTCCCCCAGTCCCCGACGTGGTTCAGCCTGCAGAGGACAAATGGATCTGAACACCGGGGGTCTCATAGTGCTCAGAGAACGCATGCTTTGATACATCTGAATATTTCTGTGCACTTTAACACGGGTCTCATAAACATAGAAAAAAAACCTTTTGGTTGTTGACTTTATGTTGAGTCGTCTGGGAGTCTCTTAAAAATGGTAACCATACTCTGTAAAATGTGTTGGTAGAACGATGCTCAACATGTCTCTGCTGGAGATCTGAGAGCAAGTCTTCAAGTCTTCCATCGTTTACGGGAAAGGGGTGTCTCTTTTTTCCACAGTAAAAGTACGCGTCAACAAGCAMTCAATGTGGAAAAGGCTACAGCTGAACTCTGCCTGGTGGAAAAACCTCATACCACAGGAACAATCCCAAATAAGAGGATTTGGTGGAATATTAATAATCCATGACTTAGACAGGGTTTTAAAAACAGATCTCCAGAAGACCTGCAATTTTTGGCATTTCCAAAACTTATGGCCAAGTATTCCTTTCCTTTCTCATTCTTACATCTTGGGCACGCCTCATCTGACCCTGGAAACAACTTTGCAAGTTTGTTATTTGGCAAATGGAGTCTGTGAACTATCTTAAATTGTATTAAACCATGTCTAATACATAATGATAATGTATGGATGAGCTTAATTGTCTGCTGCCATTGTGACTCAGTTATTTTCTAAAAAAAAACTTTTATCAGTAAGGGTGTAAATCAGCAGCTTTATCACGATGCGACATGATGACATCGTTTGATTGATGACAATATGATTTCACGATATAACGATACGATACAATGTTATGATAAAACGATATATCGTTTGGAGTTCGATATTATGTTACGATACAATGTTACAATACGGTGATATGTCATTTGGAGGACGATATGTTACGATACAATGTAACGATAAAATGATATATCGTTTGGATGACGATATTATGTTACGATACAATGTTACGATAAAACAATATATCGTTTGGAGGACAATATAATGTTACGATATGGTGATATATCGTTTGGAGGACGATATGTTACGATGTTTGGAGGACGATGTTATGTTACGATACAATGTTACTATAAAACGATATATCGTTTGGAGGACGATATAATGTTACGATACGGTGATATATCATTTGGAGGACGATATGTTATGATACAATGTTACGATACAGTGATATATTGTTTGGAGGACGATATTATGGTACGATACAGTGATATATTGTTTGGAGGACGATATTATGTTAAGATAAAACGATATATTGTTTGGAGGACGATTTTATGTTACAATAGGGTGATATATTGTTTGGAGGACGATATGTTAAGATACAATGTTACGATAAAACGATATATCGTTTGGAGGACGATATTATGTTACGATAAAACGATATATCAATTGGAGGACGATATTATGTTACGATACGGTGATATATTGTTTGGAGGGCAATATAATGTTACGATATGGTGATATATTGTTTGGAGGGCAATATAATGTTACAATATGGTGATATATCGTTTGGAGGATGATATTATGTTACGATACGGTGATATATTGTTTGGAGGATGATAAAATGTTACGATACAGTGATATATTGTTTGGAGGATGATACAATGTTACGATACAATGATATATCGTTTGTTTGGAGGACACATTGTCAGATACGATGTTTCTTAATATCATAAAGCCTTTAATGATACAAATTTTGATTCAATTAGTTCTGTGATCGATGTGTCAATCCACATCAGGCATTTGACGACAATATGGATCAATGTTTATGTTTTGTCTTGATGTAATGTAATTAAATAATTTAAGCGATATATGAATGTATCGTTACATCACTGTGATCAGTTTGCTGGTGTTACACACCTAAACACACTGCATCAACAAAGCCAGTTAACTCATTAGTCTGTTGAAGGTTAATGACCTGAGAACCTCGTAGCCCAGAAACTCAAAGAGTCGAGACATGCTGTCGCCGATGATGGTGGAGCGAAGGTGACCAACGTGCATCTCTTTGGCGATGTTTGGAGAGGAGAAGTCCACCACCACCTGAACAACCAATCAAACAAACAAAAACAGGTGAAATTATTATCCATCTGCTGAACAGTTAGAGAAAATCTTTAACAACCTTCTTCCTGCAGGCGAGAGGCGGTGGTTGAACACCGTTCATCAACAGGTTGTTCAGAAGTTTGGACACAAACGTTTTCTTCAGGTGGATGTTGATGAATCCTGAACAAACACGAACAGAGCAACAAGGAGACTTAAAATAATTCATGAAAAAAGTCAAGATTGTTCTTTGATTAATTTTAATAAAAAATTAAAACGCAAAGTTTAATATTAATTTAAAAATGTATTTTTATAAAATGTGTTCTCAACTTTACTGATTCAATTTATACAGATATTTTGTTG